CCTTTTAATGCAAGCAGTTACTGGCCAAAAGAAGAATCGCTTAGGACCCTCGGAAGGGGTAGCAATCCCACCCCCATTTCAAAAAATAAATATTTGACGCACTTAAAAATGAGATATCAAGTTGGGATTAATAACAAGTATACCTTTTAATGCAAGCAGTTACTGGCCAAAAGAAGAATCGCTTAGGACCCTCGGAAGGGGTAGCAATCCCACCCCCATTTTAAAAAATAAATATTTGACGCACTTAAAAATGAGATATCAAGTTGGGATTAATACCAAGTATACCTTTTAAGGCAAGCAGTTACTGGCCAAAAGAAGAATTGCTTAGGACCCTCGGAAGGGGTAGCAATCCCACCCCCATTTCAAAAAATAAATATTTGACGCACTTAAAAATGAGATATCAAGTTGGGATTAATAACAAGTATACCTTTTAATGCAAGCAGTTACTGGCCAAAAGAAGAATCGCTTAGGACCCTCGGAAAGGGTAGCAATCCCACCCCCATTTTAAAAAATAAATATTTGACGCACTTAAAAATGAGATATCAAGTTGGGATTAATACCAAATATACCTTTTAATGCAAGCAGTTACAGGCCAAAAGAAGAATCGCTTAGGACTTTTGCAAGGGGTAGCAATCCCACCCCCATTTTAAAAAATAAATATTTGACGCACTTAAAAATGAGATATCAAGTTGGGATTAATACCAAGTATACCTTTTAATGCAAGCAGTTACTGGCCAAAAGAAGAATCGCTTAGGACCCTCGGAAGGGGTAGCAATCCCACCCCCATTTCAAAAAATAAATATTTGACGCACTTAAAAATGAGATATCAAGTTGGAATTAATAACAAGTATACCTTTTAATGCAAGCAGTTACTGGCCAAAAGGAGAATCGCTTAGGACCCTCGGAAGGATTAGCAACCCCACCCCCATTTTCAAAAATAAATATTTGACGCACTTAAAAATGAGATATCAAGTTGGGATTAATACCAAGTATACATTTTAATGCAAGCAGTTACTGGCCAAAACTTGATATCTCATTTTTTAGTGCGTCAAATATTTATTTTTTGAAATGGGGTGGGATTGCTACCCCTTCCGAGGGTCCTAAGCGATTCTTCTTTTGGCCAGTAACTGCCTGCAATAAAATGTATACTTGGTATTAATCCCAACTTGATATCTCATTTTTAAGTGCGTCAAATATTTATTTATTTGAAATAAGGGTGGGATTGCTACCCCTTCCGAGGGTCCTAAGCGATTCTTCTTTTGGCCAGTAACTGCTTGCAATAAAATGTATACTTGGTATTAATCCCAACTTGATATCTCATTTTTAAGTGCGTCAAATATTAATTTGAAATAAGGGTGGGATTGCTACCCCTTCCGAGGGTCTTTAGCAATTCTTTTTTTGGCCAGTAACTGCTTGCATTAAAATGTATACTTGGTATTAATCCCAACTTGATATCTCATTTTAAAGTGCGTCAAATATTTATTTTTTTGAAATAAGGGTGGTGTTGCTACCCCTTCTGAGGGTCCAAAGCGATTCTTCTTTTGGCCATTAACGGCTTGCATTAAAAGGTATACTTGGTATTTATCCCAACTTGATATCTCATTTTTAAGTGCGTCAAATATTTATTTATTTGAAATAAGGGTGGGATTGCTACCTTTTCCGAGGGTCCTAAGCGATTCTTCTTTTGGCCAGTAACTGCTTGCAATAAAATGTATACTTGGTATTAATCCCAACTTGATATCTCATTTTTAAGTGGGTCAAATATTAATTTGAAATAAGGGTGGGATTGCTACTTCTTCCGAGGGTCTTTAGCGATTCTTTTTATGGCCAGTAACTGCTTGCATTAAAATGTATACTTGGTAATAATCCCAACTTGATATCTCATTTTTAAGTGCGTCAAATATTTATTTTTTTGAAATAAGGGTGGGATTGCTACCCCTTCCGAGGGTCCTAAGCGATTCTTCTTTTGGCCAGTAACTACTTGCATTAAAATGTATACTTGGTATTAATCCCAACTTGATATCTCATTTTTAAGTGCGTCATATATTTATTTTTTGAAATGGGGGTGGGATTGCTACCCTTTCCGAGGGTCCTAAGTGATTCTTCTTTTGGCCATTAACTGCTTGCATTAAAAGGTATACTTGGATTTATCCCAACTTGATATCTCATTTTTAAGTTCGTCAAATATTTATTTTTTGAAATGGGGGTGGGATTGCTACCCCTTTCGAGGGTCCTAAGCGATTCTTCTTTTGGCCAATAACTACTTGCATTAAAAGGTATACTTGGTATTAATCCCAACTTGATATCTCATTTTTAAGTGCGTCAAATATTTATTTTTTTGAAATAAGGGTGGGATTGCTACCCCTTCCGAGGGTCCTAAGTGATTCTTCTTTTGGCCATTAACTGCTTGCATTAAAAGGTATACTTGGTATTTATCCCAACTTGATATCTCATTTTTAAGTTCGTCAAATATTTATTTTTTTGAAATGGGGGTGGGATTGCTACCCTTTGCGAGGGTCTTAAGCGATTCTTCTTTTGGAAAGTAACTGCTTGCATTGAAAGGTACACTTGGTATTAATCTTAACTTGATATCTCATTTTTAAGTGCGTCAAATATTTATTTTTTGAAATGGGAGTGTGATTGCTACCCCTTCCGAGGGTTCTAAGCGAATCTGCTTTTGGCCAGTAACTATTTGTATTTAAACTTATACGTGGTATCAATTCTGCTTCGATATTTTATTTTTAATAATTTGAATATTAAGAAATTTCATTATGAATGTATTATTTTTCATGTATTTATTTTTTTTTATTTATTTATATAAGGAAAGTAACATTTAAAATACAAACGACCTCAGTTTTCAATTAACACATAAAATTGAAATATACGTACGTATTGCCCTTTTTAACGGGCCACTGTATTGTTCGGGCGTACTCGGTAAACGGGCTACCAGTTTTTGGCTACTAACTTCACACCGGTTCCGTGATTAACATATTAGTGTTTTTCTTATGTTTGAGAGGGCTGGTTTTGGCGAGTACACTCATCATAGGATAAATACTGACCCGGTTTGATATTTGGTTTTGTGTTTGAGTGGGCTGGTTGTGGCGAGTACACTCATCATAGGATTAAATACTAACCCGGATTTTGATTATTTTCTTTTAGTTACCTCCGCGCCGTGATTAAAATGATAGTATCATTTTTATGTTGAGCGTGCTGGTTGTGGCGAGTGCACTCCTCATAGGATTGATACTATCCCGTTTTCTTATCATTTATCTATTCCCCATTCACTAAAACAAGGAGGTTTGTTTCAGTTTCAATACCGACTAGAGAGTTAACCAGATAACTTTTTCTACGACCGTGATTTTAATTTTTTTTTACGAAACAAAAACTTTAATCTTTATGCCGATTTAAGAGTTAACTAATTAACTTTTGCTACGACCGCCATTATTTGTTTTTGGTTTCGTTTTGGCTCAACTACCGATCCGACAAATTTATTAATTAGATACTATTGCCACCGAGCATCTTCCTTCTAATTTTAATTCTACCGTCTGATTGAGACTAATCATTACTGGCCGATCTGTTTGTTTTTATTTTGTTCAGGGTTTTAAAATTACGAGCGGGGGTGGGCGTTGAAATAATACTTAAATTTTTTTTATTGTAAATAGTTAAAAATTCAATATATGTGTCAACGTTACCTTGACTGTTACTGAAGTTACTGAACCCTAATTTACTTCCCCCTTTATTTCAGCAGTGAGAAATTCTTTATCACCACAAGCAACGATTAAAGCCCGTTACTTGTGGTTACTTATTACCTGTGTCTGAGTGACCAACGACCCCTGGAATTTTTCATCTCCATCTGTGCTGCCCGAGTACTTTCGACGCCGTTTCGAAAGTTTGTTGAGTAAACCACACATCAAATCTGGCGCCCGAGAGCCGTCCCGTCAACAGGCGTCATTTGTAAGTAATCGTTTTCTCTGAAGCGAGAAAACCCCTTACACAGTTTCAATAAAATCTAAGTTATCACCCCAAATCACAATTGAAAAGAAACTTTCGAAATTTCCTTCCAGTCAATCTGCCTAGAGCTAAAATAAATATATTGGTAAAATCTCCCGTATACACCACTTGCAAACATTTTAATAACATGCAATGAAATAGAAGTATATGGTGATAAAATTTATAATTACAAATGTTAAATTGAAAACGATTTTAAGTGTAGGTAGGTACCCATTATATTTATATGGTATTTTGTTTCACTTTCACTTCAAAAGTATTTCATATTTTTTTTTGTGCTTTTTAAGTGTACCTATTTTAACTTGAAATTTAACTAAGTAGGTATATGGTTATTTTGTTTTTACTTTCACTACAAAAATATTATATAGGTGTACTATACTAATTTATATTTATGAATATTTATGTACTTACAATTTGTTAATCATTCAGTTATTTGTAAAAAAAGATTGCAAGACGAATATTGAAAATATTACCGAGGAAGAAGAGTATGATGACAACTTTGTATTTTTTATATAAAAAAAGGCGACCAATGAGTTCGGTATATAAAACTAAATGTACAACTGGATTTTATTCTGCGTTAATAAATAATCATTTAACTTTAAACAAAGATAAATTCAGGGTTGAAAACTAGGTATTACCAGAGCATTTTATATTTCGCAATAATGGGACAACCTGTATAATAAAAAATCACTTTTTCTTAATTTTGTTGATATTTTCCCCTATATATTATCACGTACGTTACTGTTTTTGTATAATTCGGATTGAAGCTCATATAGTAGAGCATTTTCTTTAACTAAATTAATCAACTGATTATTATCATCAATCGAAAACTTTGTGTCTGCCATTTGTGTCTGCATTACATTTAGGCGTAAAGATACTCATTTCTGTCGCCTGTCGCGGTTGCTTTTATCGGTTTCCTGTCTCGGACTGGCGTTCCCAAATGGTTCCTTTAAAAAATAAATGTATTTTTTTTCATTCTTATATTTTCACTACCCATTAAGTACCTCTCGTTTTCATTTATTTAGTAAAACTATTTTTTTTTGTTCTTGCATGAATTCTTCGTCATACCATTTATGTTTATTATGCGTAAGACTTTAAAAAATGCACAAATAGATTGTGTATAAGTATATGTATATATTTGGTCATCAAATGATATATCAAAAACTATAGAATACATATTTTAGAATGTGTCTATAAATGGACTAGCAAATCTAGAAATAATATTAATCCACTCCTTAAATGTACTTTTAAATTGGCCCACTGACAAATTTTCGTCGATATTAAGATGTACAAATTTGTTCTGAGTAAATTTAGTCCAATTGACATTTTGCAATAAATCGTTGGTGTGTTTCGTAGGATTTCTAAAAAATAAAAAGAACATTAGAATTACATATATAATAAGTAGTCAAATATTATAGCCCAAGAGCCCACTGAAAATTTTTACCGTCATCTGATAACGAAATGAAATATACCCCAAAAGCATGGAAAAACATTGCCAAATGGCACCTGTGCCAATCCCAATCCTGAGCAAAGTGGCTTAAAAAAATTATTTTATATTAAAAAAATCACATAAGGCATGACAGCGCTAATTTTGTTTGCCCTTAAAGTTTTCCAGAAAATACCATTCAAATATATCTTGATATACATCGTTAAAGGGAAACATTTTCTTCTTCTTAACATCGCACAAAAACATCTATCCACGATTAGTAGGTAAATATTAAAAATATGAATCAATGTTTGCTGATTTAAAAATTTATTTGTGGTTCATTTTTACAGGTTGTCATAGAAACGACAAAAAACTACTATGATTATAGTTTAAAATAATTGTCTAACAAGAGTTTATAATTATTATTGACTATCTCTGCAAATGGTTTATACAATGCCATCCTTCTTCCTTTCATACATAAACATGGTTTAAAAGGTAGGTAAAAATATTAATAATTCAGGTTTAAAAGCTAGGTTCACAATGAATTAGGATTGTAATTTTCAGGGAAAACATAATTGTCGCTGTCATGTTTTATGTGATTTTACGAATATAAAATATTTTTTTTTAACCACTGCTTAGGATAGGGATTGGCACAGGTGCAATTTGGTAAAGTACAATGTTGTTACATGCCTTTGGATCATATTTCATTTCGTTATCAGATGACGGTCGAAATTTGCAGTGGGCTCTCATACTATTATCCGATAAGGGTAAATGGACAATTTGGGCCCACTCCCAAGTAGGTATATCAAATAGCAATCAATAACTTTGTACAGATTTAGCTTAATTTTTTTTGGATATAGTAGGCGAGTTCGGATAGTCAGGGGCTGGAGCGGGACAAATTTTAGGGTGCTTTTAAATGACATTTAAGCGTGTTAAACTGTCACTAATCGGACTAAACCGAACGCTAAAAGAGTCGTTTGGAGTTAAAAGTGTTAAAGGAGTTAAAGGAACTTGGCAGACCGAACGCAATGAGTGCAAACCATGGAGGTAAAAGGTAGGGAGACCCTGTCACGTGGTCCAAGACTTCCGCCATATTGTGTTTACGAATCCTTCAAACAGCTAATCGTGGTTTCTATCAACGTTTTTTCTATTTTTATGTCGTTTGCAAACTAAATATATTGTGCATATTAACAGTTAAACATTGGTTGCTTGTACTCAACGATTTGTGCGAATAATTCGAATTTACGAATTATTCGTATCGAATCGAATATTATTATTCAAATCGAAATTCGAATCGAATAATTCGAATTTGCGAATTATTCGAAAATTTTGAATTATTCGAAAAATCCACGAATTATTATTATAAATATTCTTGTATAAGTCCTTCATATTTCTTCATATCGCATGAGTTTGTTAAATGTAAACTTAGTATTGGCCGTATAAAAGTATATCTGTTGTAATTTTGTTGAAGGAAATTTTTACATTAGAATTAGTCGTACAAAAAGTATATAAGAATTAGTCGATTAAAAACGTACATTTATTAGCATTGCTATTGATATCCTAGGATCGTCTACAGATTGCCTACATATATTTTCTTTTCTTTTTATTATTTTTGATGTATTCAATTTTCAAAACGTATGTATTTAAAACATTTTCGGTAGCCTTTATAATTAATTTTGTTATTACAATTTGTATATTTTTATACTTTTAGATAGATATTTTCCTGTATATATTTTTGTCTCATAATACATCATAGATATTAAACAACTTATCCTAACAATATGTTGAGTTTTTACAGGATATGTAACCGCAAGAAATGATAATATTGCTCTGCTTTAAACAACGTCTCATTGATAGTTATTCTTGGCCATAGTAAATGATTTTAATCTATTTTATTAACGCTTTATTGATTACCTATATTAATTTTTATGTTTTTATCTACGTCTCATTGATAGTTATTGATAGTAAATGATTGCAAAAGGTAAAACTGTAGAAATAATATCCACTATATAGCTACTGCGGTATTTTATTAACATCCGTTGGTTTTGTATATATATTTTTATCACTGAATGTATGCGGTTATTGACACGGATAAAATGTTTCTAACAATACTTGAAAATTGACCAGAAATACCTTGAAGTATTATTTTACAAAATTTTGATGTAATACTATTTTTTCAATTTTTTTTATATTTGTAGATTTACAAACTGATAATGAAACTCGTATGGCTGTCATGTTGGATCCTGTGGATCGTCGACTGTGTGCCTAAAGATAACTTTTTTGCTTCCCCTTCCTATAATTTTGACAGGTGCAACGCATTGTTTACTTGCTCATCGATGTAATGCCAATTGAATTTGTACGAATTTCTATGATTTTATCTGTTCGTCTGATCATATGTCTGCCTCCTCCTTCCATTTGTCTGTCTTTCAGTCTCTTACTCTGTCTTTGTTAATATCTAACTCCTGGTGACATGACGCCGATCTGTATGTATACATTTTAATAAAACACTTAAGAGCGATATCCATGCGGCACCTAACAGCAAATTCACGTTTGAGAAGCACTGACAATTTTCAGCGCATCTATTGCATCTGAACACAACTTGGCAACGTTGCTTCCAGCTCCCTTCAATGTGTTAACTCAGATGATTGAAAGATTCAATACGACGATGAATAGTAGGTCCGGTCTTACAAGGAGTATTTTTTTTGTTTTCCTTGTTAAAAATATTTTTTGAAGGTATCTAGAACCTGGTGTAACACAAATTTTCGGAACCATTCGGTTTTGTTTGTCTCGTTTTTTGATAGCAGTAGCATGGAGATTGCTTTGAAAAACATCTTATTATACCAAACTGATCATCAGAATACAATTGGCACATATTAGAAATTAAATTGAAAATAAAAGTACCTATAACATTTTATTAATAAAACTTTTTTTTTCTTACTAAATATTTTATTTACGAAATATATTTTTTATTTATTTACCCATACATATATAGGTATTTCTCCATGGGTATTTCAGAAGCAAATATTCAAAAAGTATTTATAAATTCTCTTAGCTCTATATAAAGGTTGTTTGTAAGTAAGTGGAAAAGATTTTAGGGGATTGTTGCCGAAGTTATTTTGATAAAAAAAGTTAGTGGTAAAATTTAAACACTTTGTATTTCGAAAACGAAGCATATTTCAAACTACATTTAAAGGCACTTTTTTAACAAAATAACTTCTACAATCACCTCCTATAATCTTTCGCACTTATTTACACCCGTATAAAATAAAAATACATAATTAGTATAATAATTACATACTCATATATAAAAAAGTAAAACAATCCATTCAAAATCATTTTCTAGTACTACTCGTACATATAAAACGTTTTATAAAATAAAAAAATATAATCTAGTATATGATTCTCAATAAAAAAATAAATAAAAATAATAATTTTTTTTTGGCCAATTTCTGGTCGGATTTCTAGTATCTAAGCCTTTAGTGAAACGTGGATCTAAGATCTCGGGTAGTATACAACCTAAAAAAAATTGTTTTAGTTTGCTTTCCATTTCGTTATGCCAAAATATATCATCTTTTTATTTTTTCCACTAACATACTTAAAGGTGTCCATACAATAAAAAAACAAATATTTCTTTTAGTTACGTGAAGTTGTCCCTGAACCTGGTAATAATAATTATGAGTTCGTTTTAATTGCATTTGGCCATTGTCATGAATAATTGCAAATTTTAGAATTTTTTCAACTATTGCTTTTTCCGGAGTCAGTTTTGAAGCAGTAGCTGGACATTTAATTTCAATAATACTCTCGGTTCCTATTAAACCGTCCGGACTTGTGACTAAAAAACCATATTCAGAATCCACAAATAAACCAAATTGTTTGCCCTCCACTTTAAATTCCTCTATAGCTAAAGGTTCTTTTTCAATTCCATACTTAGTATATTCATTTCCCATATAATTGGAACATAACAAGTTTTTAATAAAATTCGTACAACTTGTTTTTGGACGCATTTTGCATAGGGTTCCAAAATTTGACGCGGTTAAGCGGCTTGTTTCCAAACTGGGTTGCCAGCTTTCCCTCTCGTTTCTTTTTCAAGTTGTATAATTTCATTCGATGATATGTGAAGTTGTTTCAGAAAGGTAATTTTTTTATCTTCGTACTCATTGTCAGGTATATCTGGAATTTTTTCCTTGTTGTCCAAAGTTTGCAAACCGTAATCTTTATCAGGAAGACAACTTTGTTTTGCCTTTTTTTAAAGACACGTTTACCTTTTATATTTTTTTCATGCCAAAGCCTACGTCTTGTAATTTTATTGGAATATTTTTTTGTGTTACCCGTTGGACTTTTGTTAGTAACAGCTTTAAAAACATCTTTGTAGTAATCAGATCTGCCTACATTAAAATATCTTGAGGTTGCTTCACACCTCGAAGCGTATGATCCTCTTAGAGAAAAATTAATACGTTTTCCACCAACAAACTTATATATTATCGAATTGTAAACCACAATTTTTCATTTCTTTAATGTAGTTTTTTTCACTAGGATTCGGTTTGCATTCAAAGTACCCAATTTCTTGGCATTTTGAATGTTCACCAAATACGTGTGATGGTATATTTTTTAAATCTTTACACAAAAGCTGTATTTTTTCTGTAAGTGGTTTTTCTTCGTTTGTCCGATATAAAACCGCTTTACTACATGCAGTTCTGATACGTAAAATACTTTTTAAAACGTGTTTCCTCAAAAATATTTGAACTGCACAATTTTTAGAGGTACTTCGTTTTTTACCGGATATTTCCCTTAATTTTCTGCAAAAATTTCTAAGTAAGTGATTTTTACATTCTATTTTCTGCACTAAAGTATTCGCATAGGGCCTTGTTTCTACTAATTTATTGTACACGCTACTATCGCCATCACCTACAAGTCGTAAAAAAATTAGTCCATACA